TGTGGTGTAAGGAGACATGTACAGGTGCCAGATTGACTAGGTGTGAACTGGGATCAGTTCTGTGTGTCGACTAGGCTCTGATACCTAGATATTCAATCAAACAGTAATCTAGATGTTGCTGTGCAGGTATTTTGTAGATATGATTAACATCTACAGTCAGTTAGCTTCATGTAAAGGAGATTTTCCTGGATAACACAGATCGACCTGATCCAACTCACTGAGAGGCCTGAGGCTGTAGTCACCTGTGGACTGTAGTCGGCTCCTAAGAGCTTCCAGCCTGACTTTCTTTGCAGCCTGCAGCATGGATTCCACAACTGCCCACCTAGCCCCACAGTCAGGTAAGCCAATTTCTCACCACAAATCTAGATGGACAGATGGATGGCACAGATGATAGATGATACATAAAAGGTGATGGATAAAAAAAATTATACCCTACTGGTTGTGTTTCTCTAGTGGAACTCTGATCAGCACAAAAAGTACCCAAGAAGAACCTTGTGTCCCTTGAGAGTCAGAGCTTGTTTTTGATCCAAAAGGGTTCAACCAACGTATTCATTAGACATAGTCCCCAAAATTCCTGGGAAAATCCCGTGAGTTCGAAAGATTATTCTGACGGAGGAGTCAATTGGGCAGGTCAGCACAACACTCTGGAAATAGTGCTCCATGTTTCAGGCTAAGCCTTCAGACATATTGGTCGCTGCATGTTCATTAACCTATCTATAACACATTGGAACTTTACACACCACTCAAAAATGCGCTGTTTATCAACTGCCTCTGAAAGGAGATGCAAAATTTCACAACATGAATTGCTTTGAAGGAGGGAAATTTGTGGCGGGAGGACAGAGGTGGGAAGGAGAATTTCCACTTTTTGTAGTTTTGGAATATCGAATTATGTAGAAAATCATCTAGATGAGGGGCCGACAAACTATAGGCCACAGTCCAAACATGGCCCACTGCCTGCTTCCCGTTTCACTGGAGTGTATCCACAGTCATTTGTTTACATAATGTCTGTGGCGGCTTTCATGTTACAACTGCAGTTCAGCACTTGCTGGGGCATATGGCCCACAAAACCTAACATATTTACTATTTGACCCTTTCCAGAAAAAAATTACCCGTTTCAATCCAGATTTTAAAAAATAGAAACTGACCCTCAAAAATGCCGCAAGAATTTGAAAACCTACATCCACACAAAAACTTATACATGAAGGTTCACATGTAAGTTTTTGTGTGGACGTGTGTCTAGCTATTCACACTAGCTAAAGAGTGTAAACAACCCAACCCAAAATCACACACATGATGAATAAATAAAATGTGAAATACACATGCAGTGGGATATTAGTTGGCCTAAAAACGGAATGAAGTAGTGATAAATGCACAGCACAGATGAACCTCGAAAACATCATGCTAAATGAAAGGAGCCAGACACAAAAGGCTATATATTGTATAATTCCATTTATATGAAATGCCTATAATAGGCAAATTCATAGAGACAGAGATTAGTTGTTTCCAGGTGCTAGAGAAAGGGAGGAATGGAGACTGATTGCAAATGAGTACAAGGCTTCTTTGGGAGTGAAAATGTGATGGTTGCACAACTCTTTGAATACACTAAAACCCACCGAACTGTACACCAGCACCACGTACAAGTGCTGTACAGGGCATTCCACAATTCAGTAGGGGCTCGGCATCTAGTAATGAATTGGTCCTCTCCATCACCCCAAACCAGGATCAGCCCTGGTGTGCCAGTTAAGAAACCAGGTTCTATATCCCAATTGTCCCAAACATCCACGTGACCTTACATATGTTTCTTTTCCTGTTTGGTTCTTAATTTCCTTCTCTGTGAAGTGGGATAATTTAGGGAGCCTGGCTTCCCAGAATTATTCTTTCAGTGTCTTCATCATCATCATCGTTTTCCAATTTCAAAAGCACTTTCATACATACGATATCATTTGTATCCTCGTAACAGCTGTTCAGGGTAGATAGGTATTAACCCCATTTTACAAATAAGAAAATTGAGCCTCAGAGAGGTCAAATGACTTGTTTAAATGCAGACAGTGGGTGTTGGAGCTGGGACTCAACCCTAGGTCTTCTGAGTCTAGAGCCTGTGTCCTACCCACACCACCACGCTATTTTTGCATGGTTGGCCTCTCTCCACAAAGCCCAAGACAGCAATGTCCGGTAGCATCACCAGTGTCCACCTTTGTTTTGACCAAGCAAGGAAGGAGAGGCGTAGGGACTTGGGGTCCTCTTTGATCTTTTCTTCGGAACCTCTCTCCATTGGCACAGCAGCAGCCTGTGCATAGGAGTATGCGTGTACACTGGTGTGGACACCAGCCCAGCGCATCCCAAAGATACACATACAAGTACACTTGCGCTCTTCCGCAGGCACTGTCACTCCTTGTTACCAGGGTGGTAAGAAGGCTGTCCCTTTAGTTATGGGGAAGCCTAAGAGGTCACAGATTTAGGAGTCTGCTCTCTCTCCTTCCTAAGTCCAGAAGACTCACCCCTCCCTCTCATGAGACCTCAAGGAGGAAGGGGCAGCTCCTGGATCCTTAGGAGACTGGAGGAGTGAGAAGGGAGGGAGGGACAGGGAATTATCCTTACCCTTGCTGAAGCAGAACCCAAGAAAGGGAACATCAGTGAAACCAGGGAGCCAGTCCTAAACTCAGAGGGCTGGGCCTAAATCTCGAGGAATGTCAGTGAGTCCCTGTCAAACCCAGCACAGTGCCTGGCTCCAGCAGCACTACCCACTACCCGGGCTTTGGCACGCTGCTTACCCTGTTTATCCAGAAATCTGGCTAATAATGGCTGCTGGACCTAGCTCAAAGTGGTGCTCAGAGGGTTCAAAGACATAAGCCAACTGAAATGCTTTAAAAATAAAATGTCCTTTATGAACACTTTCGTTCTTCCACAGTTGGCAAGGAAGTGGGGCACGCACTTGTGGGCAGGGGGACCCACTCACTCCTGCTGCCCAAACAAACAGGGCTGGAGGCAGCAAGGGGAGTGAGGCCAAAGGCAGAAGTCTTCAGGAAAGGCCAAGCTTCCCTGAAGCAGAGGGGCTGCCCAGGCTGGCTGCCACTCTTCTTCTTTGACCAAAGCAGTGAAGAAAAGGGAAAACGGTTCTTTCAGAGCTTATATTCTAGTTGTGGGAGACCAAGTAAATCAACAAATACGTCAAGCATTGGCAGGTGCTGTGCTGAGTTAAAATGGGTAAAGTTAATAGTGATGGTGAGAGGTGCTACTTCGTATAGAATGTCCACAGACCTCTCTGATAAAGGTGTTTGAGTAAAGACCTGAAGGAAGCAAGGGGATCGTTTAGGGCACAGCAACGCCTTAGGTCTAGGCTGGAGGACTCTGGAGTCCTGGAGAGACACAGGCACGTTGCCCACAGCAACAGAGACAATTTCCTACCACACTGGTTTGGTGGGTCCCCTTAGATTCATTCTCCGCCTTTCTGTCCTCTAGGCATAGGGGAGCCGACCCCTAAAGACTGCAGCCCTGAGTCAGCCTTGCCATCCACCTTTCACTTCGGTTCAGTCAAAAGGATCCCTCAGATGATTGGAAAACAGGGTGAGAGGTAGGACACTGACACTCCACTGTCTTGGTCTGGCCACAGTTCTGACAGTGGGTGCATTCCCCTATGCCACAATTCCTGCCTGCCTTCCACACCCCCTCTGTAACCCATGCTCCCATCCTGTCCCAACCCTGGGCCCCACAGGGTCAGGACTCAACTTCTCCAGCAAGCCTTGCAGAATCGCCCTTTCAGATGAGCACCACGCACTACTTATGCAGGGATGTATCGACCCTAGAAGCCACCTGGACTGCCTCTCCCATTCAGGCAGGAAGAGGATGAGTTTTAGCCCTAGAGACCCATCACAGACCAACTGTTGGCCTCATACTTCAAGGTTCCAGCTCTGTCAAGTGGCCCACACCAGCAAAGGCAGGAATGGAAGTTGGGGTCCTAGAGCCCCTCGTCTTCCTCCCTTAGGACTTTGCTGCCCTAGAAACAAAGCCTTCTCTCCAGGATCCAGCCCACCAACCTCCCATGTGAAGGAACTCTCCAGACCTACTTCCAAAAATCAAAAGCTCACTGCCCAGTTTATCTCCTTGATAGTACAGTTAAGACTACTGAAGAAAGCTTATCAACATATATATCTGCTCTAACAATTAGAACATGCATGTCATAGAAGCAAAGAACTTGCCTATCTTGTTCTCTTGTGTGAGTAGCATCCTAGGCCCAAGTACCTAAGAACTCAGTAAAAGGTTTTTGAGTGAATAACTGATCATAGAAATGAGCACAAATCACCTCTGCTCTCTAACACCTCCACACACGTGGCCATAAGCCCAGATACCCAGAGCTTAGGGTCAGGAATGGGCAGACACTCTCAGAAGTGCCTCAGTACTACTGACTTCTCCAGATATGTTGGGGCAGGAGCCCCCAGGTGGGACAACCAGGAGAGCCCAGGAATCAAAGAATTACTAGGTTTCACCAAAAGTTTCCATCTTTCTGAAGACCCCCAGCTTTTCCATTTCTGAGTTGCTAGAGCAGAACTTAGCTAGTAGACACAGTCTTCAGGTCTCAGGGAAACCTCAAATGAGAATTATGAGGGATATGAGCTTTGGTTGAAGGTTCTAAGCCAGCTCCTACAGGTCCAGTACAGCAACATCAAACTGCCGTTCTGAACCTAGAAACTGAACCTGTAAATTGGGAAGGCAGCATTTATTATATTAAGGACCCAAAATGTGGCACACCTGGCCATCTCTACCCAGGGACCTAAGAAACCTTGTGGATGAGTGCTACTGGTTAGTTTTCTGCCATATAAGGGACCCAACCCTAAGCCCTACAATTAAAACCTGATTCAGGTTTATCAGTATCTCTCTGCCTGGCCTTATCTCTTCAGCCCCCATTCTATTCCACCCTAGATACCTTCTGCCCCACCCATGTGTGGCACCACTGCCACCTGACCAACCCCTTTAGCCCCAAAGAAACCCAAACAGCTCGGAAATGCATCAATCAACCTTTAATGTCCAAAAGAGGCATGGATGCAGAGCACAGATGTGGCAGGGTCTCAGCCCCAGCTCCAGAAATGAGGGAGAGACGAACAGACACCAGACATTTCCAACTGGCCACGCAAGTCTGGGAGGGCCGGGGAAACACAGATTTGGACATTCATAAAACGGTCTGATACAGGGAACTCACTCACCATCCCAGTCCCCACCCTCCCATCAGCAACAGAAAGCAAGCTCGGCACACACTAAAGGCTTGGGGTGGGGACATTTTCCTGCCTCCCCACCAGCCCCAAGGATGGAGTTGAAGAAAAAAGAATGAGCTAGATCCCAAACCTCCCTTCCCCAGTGTCAACCATACACTAGTTTTATTTTAAATGCAATTTACAAGAATCAACAGCTCAACCAACAATAACTTCCCCCACCCCCCGCCACCCCATCCATCCCTATTTGATCAACAGACAAGATTTGCCCAGCATTCTCCTTGGAAATCTCCTACTAGTGGCCCTGCTTCATCTCCTGATACCTGGCTTCATCACTGCAAGACTTCCTCCCAAGCCCCTCACAGCCCTTTATCACTTCCATTCTTATCATCCACAAAGTCAGTTTCCCTCTCCACTGACAGCCAACTCCAGAGCAGACAGCAGGCAGCATGACCATATCACTGTGGGCTATTCTCCTAAAACCTTCCTGGGGGCAGCCAGCCATAGGTCATGCAGTGTCTGGGCAAGATGGCTGAGGGGGGCAACATGTGTCTTCACCCACAAATGTTTTTTAACATAAAGGCCCATTTAGAACTAATTGGGCACCCTATCTACCCATATACCTAGAGATTTCATACTGTCTTGCCCCTCCCTCCCCTCCACCCCAAACCAAGACACACACACACACACACAGATGTACACAGAGAACAATCAGGGAGACATTGATTTGGTTTGATTGCTAAGACCTAACTAAGGAACTACGGTCACCAGATATTCTCTTGTCAGCCAACAGAGGCTGCTCTAAGAGAACTCCAGAGGAATGAGAAAACCAAGGACTAAGCAGGGAGCAGACAGAAGTAGAGAAGAAAGAATCATCAAGCTAACCCTACCTCCAGCATCCTCCTAGCACGAACTCTGGCAGGAAGAATAAAAGATAATCCACAAAGACAAAGCCCTTACTTAGAAACTCTTCTGACAAAGACACCAAGACAAATCTGCTCCCCACTCCCACACATCACAGACAAACACGTCTCAGGGCCCCTTCAAAAATCCACCCTTCCAACCCCACCTTCTATCCCAAGCCCTGGAATCACAGTTCAGTGGAATAGTCTCCCTGGTACTAGATCAATCCCCCTGCCCTCCTTCCTATCCCCTCTCTCCTTGTTGATCCTAACACTGTCCCCCTGCAGCATCCCTGGCCCTCCCAAAGCAGAAGAGGCAGCTGCACAGTTTTAGTTCCACCTCCAGAAACTGATTTCTTTTCCCCAGCCTTCCTGGTCTTAGTGGCTCTTTTTTTTACGGTTTATTTTATATAGAGAGAGAAAGGGAAAAGGGAGAGGTGGGAGAGATTTCCTAGTGCAATACAACCAAAAAAATTTGTTTTAAGTTTTGAAAAATAAATGTAAAGCAGCCTTCTTCCCCAGGCAACTAAACAGAAAGAAGTTTGGTTTTGTTTACTGCGACATACACATGAAATCGAGTATACAGTCCATGCAGTAGCACAGCCATTGGTGAGGACATCCTGATGCTGGCCCCAGTGCAAAATAGTCCCAGCAACGTCATCTGCTTGCCATCGCTGCTGCCGCCGCCACTGACACCTTCCCTGCAGCCACCTAGCCTGACTTGAAGAGGAGGATTGCAACTTGACCCAAGTAAAAATAGATGAAGTGCTTTGTCTCGTGTGTAACGTAGCTGCCAAAATTTCGGCCCACGATACAATGCCAGGTAGGGTTGTATTTCTTGTCAAATTCCTGAAAGAAAAATAAAAGGGAGAGAAGAAAGGTGATTAGGACAACCAGAGGACGAGAAATCAGAATGGGAGTCTGGTCAGTTTAGTTATCGCCCCCAGCCCAGCCCTCAGCTCCCTGAACCTCAGGAGCTCAGGTTCTAAGGCTGGCAGGGACACTCCTTCCCTCATTAATAATGTACCACCACAAAGGCTCCACTATTTCTCTCTAGCACATTACACCCTGATCATCTCTCCTCCCTCTAGCTACTCTATTCAACAGCCCATCCTGTGACTCTTCAGCAGAGGAATCAGAGAAGAGTCAACCAATCCAATCCAGTGCTATGCAGCATGAGTAAAACAGCATGGGCAACCTCACTGACTGGCCACCATCTTCCACATTACTAAACCAGTATTTCCAAATGCCAAATACCAAGACACCAGAGCAAAACAGGGACCAAAGGTCAGGAGTACCAGGAAGCAACTCTGTGTAAGTCAATATTAAAGGCATTCTTGTGTGCCAGGCAATGTGTGGGCTGTAAGCACCAGAACAAGGACCTTAGACATGAGATCAAGGCAATTCCCTCCTCTCTCTCTGAGGCAAAAGTACAGCACCAAAGCCACCTAGGAAATCCATGTGACCTAATCCAACAGGCAGCTCCCTGTCACCCTGTGGATGCAAGTAGGAAACCAATGGCTCAGTTCTAGATGCATACTGCCATAGCCATGAAAGGGCAATAGACCACATAAGCCCTGCAATGCTGCCTACCCTAAGGCTCAAGATACAACTTGTTTGGCCTCCTCACAATTCCCACAGCATGACTCCAAAAAGTATTAAGAACATGGAAAAGTGGAAAAGGCATGCATTACCAAACCCAGCTTTAATCCTGACTCAAGACTCCATAACTTAGGAGAGCCACAGTCACTTTCCTAGGTCTCATTTGTCCCACCAGCAACACAAGAAAGCTGGACCACATATAGGATTTTTCTGACTCTGAGAGTCCATGATTCTCTCCTTGGACAGGACAGCAAGGCAATCACTCAGCAAGGAGCTGGCATGCCCAGGAGCCTTGCTGGCTCTATATTCAGTCTTGCGGAATTCCAGAGTCTCCTGTTCTCATCCCACCCATTTAGGTAGGAAAGCAGAGTTCTGTTAAACTCAGCAACCACCTCTATAGACCAGAATGCCACTACTTAGGCATCCTTCTTGGGATGTCAGAGAGCTGAGAATATTGAAAACTAGGACTATGCCACCAATGGACATGGGTCCTGACTCGGGATCAGGGGCCCTGTGTACCACTTCTCACTTCTAGCACAGCTGATTCCTCACCATGTTTACCATATCCATTCACCCATTCACTTAGGAATTTTTTAGGAACTAAACCCATTGCTTCAATATTGCTCATCCACTTTTAAAAAACTATATATTTAGGCCCACCCTTTTCTTAAGAAGGTAGGGGAAAAGGGCATGATGCAATACCTGAATCCTTTTTATTGTTTATTTTTATGTGTTTTTCTCCTGAGTCTTTTTTAAGAGAAATACAAGGAAACCTCCTACATCATAATAATGATGAGTATTATTATAGATACACCACTTTAACTGATGGAGTTCCCTGAAAATTAGTATACTGTCTTATATTATCCATTCAAATATCCTTGGTGTTCATTTTGAATAGTTCTGAATTGGGCCAGTTATATTTAATCCTGAAGCTTCTCTCCCTGATCTCCTGCAGTGACACAATTATCTGTAAACACACACACACACACACACACACACACACACACACACAAGCAGAGTTCCTATTAAGAATGCCTAAGGTAAATTATTTGGCAATTAATAATCACTCCCTAATCTATCTGTTTTGCAAGTTCCTAGGATTTTGTTTGTGTGGGTATAGCTGATTTTCTATGTCCTCAGCTTCAGCCTTCCGAGGGGTACAGCTCAGCTGCCTATCCCCACCCCAGTCACCAGCCACAGCACTCCCAGTGCACCTTCTTGATATAGGCAGCAATGTCCTTCTCTATGTTGTACTTCTCCATAGCCTGCGTGGCACAGTCAACGGCATCCTGTTGCATGTCCTCAGACATGTCTGCGTTCTTGATCACTGCCTTACGGTCAGACATTGTGACACTGCAGGAGAAACAAAGAGGTAAGGCTGACAACCCCATGACTCCGAACAATGAACATTAGCATTGGTTGTGGGGCCTCAGTGGGAGAGGGGAGTACCAGAGGAAAGGGCAACAGAAGACAGGGACAAGAGGCAAAAGGAGAGGGAGCTCACAAGCTTTTAACCAAGACATGGTCCCCAAGCCTGGGAAATACAAGATAAACAGTAACACAAATATAATAAACCACCAATTTTTATCATAAAGTGAGGATTTTCTAACTCTAAATATAATCTATTTCTGCTATCTTGAATGGCACCAATAATCAAGATACTACAATACATCACCTGCTAGCTGTGTCCTTAGGCAAATAACCTTTGTGTTTTCATGCCATCACCTTAAACAGGGGACCTGCAGGATTATCCTGAGGGCAAACCAGGTGGCATCAACACCTGAAGATAGTAAGTCCTTGATTTAATGACCATTATTACATCACCAGTATCATAGTAGAAAGAAGACAGGATAGGAATCACCAGACCTGACTATGAACTCTTGTGGGTTTGGACAAGTCACTGAGTTTTTCTGCATTTGATTACTTCTATTTAAACAATGAGGGTGGCTATCAGGGGTTGTTATAAGGATTAATTAAAAGTATACAAGAACAGGCCCTGGCTGGTATAGCTCAGTGGATTGAGCACAGGCCTGTGAACCAAAGGGTCGCTGGTTCAATTCCCAGTCAGGACACACGTCTGTCTCTCTTTCTCCTTTCCTTCTCCTGTGTCTAAAAATAAATAAATAAAATCTTAAAAAAGAAAAACAACTCATTGAAAAAAAAGTACGCAAGAACACCTGCAAACAAGGACAGTCTATACAGGGATCTGTCCCACTGGCTAAATTCAGCCTGCCACCTGTTTTTGCAAATAAAGTTTTAAAGAAACACTTTACAATGACAGAGTTTAGTAACTTCAAGACACTGTACTGCCTACAAAACCTGCAATATTTACTATTTGGACTTTCACCAAAAAATGTTACTAACACCTAGGCTAATCAGTGCCCAGTGGTGAGAGGTAACAAAAAATTATTATTTTAATTTCCCTTTTTCATAATTCTGCCATCTAAACCAAGGTATTCATCCTACAGCAACCTACAGATTTCTGGGGTAGACTCTGCATGGTCCCTTCCTAGGATGACAGGAATCTGAGGAGGGATGGCCAGAACCTCCCTGGCAGTCTGCAGGCAAGTGAGAGCGCTTTGCAGGAATAAAGGACATGAGCTGCAAAATCCTATCCTCTGTCCTTGACCACAGTCCTGTCACACAGGGAAGTAACAATCCACCCCTTCCCATGCCCCATCCCCCAAAATACAACTGTGTGGCCCAGCCCAGTGGACTAAAATGCTGTCATTCCAGCCCTGTCTGATGAAAGGCTACACAATCAAGGTGAGTTCCCTGGTATCATTTCAGACTATCCTGATCTGAGTCCACACCAGCCTGTGGACTGGGTGGGCTGAAAGGGAAACAGAACTCATACCCTTTTAGCCTGTACCAGAGACAAAAAAAAAAAATGCATGCAGGCCAGCTGCCAGTCAGGCAGCCCTTGACTGAACCCACAGCACCTGTGTGTGGCACTGCCAACCTAAGCAGGGCTGGTTCTACTTCCACAGAGGCTGGCAGAGCCCAGGATTAGTGGACCAGCACCCTCTGCCCCCACATCCTGAGGGTAAAGTCAGAGCCTCGAGGAGTGTGTGAGCGTTGCCTGGTGCTGGAGAAAGGTCCGGAGAACCCCGTTCACAGCCATCTATATGACCTTGGGCAAATCAACATCTTTTTAAAAACCAATGCTTTTTAAAAATAAGGTAAATGAGGCAACTTGTGTGAATTTAAGCAATGGTATCAGAGCAGTACAGGTAGAACGTGCTATTATAACGCTCTTTACATGTGAAGAAAACTAGTGTCACTTGGCCTTCTACACCAGCTCCTGAAGGAGCTACACTAAGAAGGGGACCCTGTTTATCAACCCAGGGTGGAAGTGGGGCCGGGTTAGACATTAGCACCCTTTCCCAACAAGCTCACCTTGCTGCACTGCCTCAACCCCAAAGTGCAAAAGAACTACTTTATCACAGTAATTAAAAGCCACCTTACTCTACAAGAGGGAGCCTGCAGTTACATAACGTTGGTCTTGTGACTACAATGCCACGATTCTTCACCTCGGGGGCACCCCAGGCGTCTGAGAGGTGAGGCCCAGCCCGAACCTCCCCAGTCCAAGGTGCCAGTGAGAAAAGGATTGGGAGGTGCCCGACCTAGCTCCTCCCTGCTGGAAAAAAAAGCGAGGCACCTGGGCCTCCAGAAAAGGATGACCTGAGGGCCCCTGGCCAGCTGCCTCAGTCACGAGCCAGGAGCTCCTTTCAAGAGCGAAGAGGCCATTCAGCACAGACCCCATCCTCTGTCCTCGGTTTTGCGACCCCCCCCAAAAAAATATATATATATGTATTTATATATATCCTTCCACCACCCCACCCCCCAGAAGGCCAGCACCAGGTGAATGAGCAAGCACCCGCCACTCCACCTCCGCCACGGCAGGTCAGCCGCCCTCCCCCGTCCGGCCTGGAGCAGCGCCGGACTGACTGGGCGTCCTCACCGCAGGAAGGGCGCCCCAGAGGGTGGCGGTGGTGGTGGCGGTGGTGGCGGAGACGGCAGGAGGAGCCGCGTCACGCCCGAGCCCTCTCCACCCCACCCCCTCGGCCCCAAACACTAGAAGCCTCCACGCAGCGCAGGGAGACTCCCGGGGGAGACGAGAACCGCACCCCCGCACCCAGGGCCTCCAGGCCCGCCCCGAGGGTCGCGAGGACACAGGGTGGCGCAGCTCCGGAAGCGAGGGACGCCGGGGGCGTCACGCCGAAGCCAGCCCTTCTCCCGGCCCCGCGTGGGTAGACGAGGCCTGAGGGGCACCGCTCGTAGGGCCGCACTCGACCGGCGCGGTCTACCGCCCCAGGGGCGCCCCCACCCACCGCTTACCTTCACGCAGGCGAGTCCGCGCGAGGCCCCGGGAGAGCAGCGATGGCCTGAGGCAGGACGAAGGCAGGGGCGGTGTCCCTCCGGCTACTCCTGCAGCAGCCGCCGCCGGGGCGGTCTCCCGCTTCCGCAGCACCGGGCCGAGCGCTCGCCGCCGCCGTCCGCCCTTCGAGCTTCCCCGGCCGCTCTCACGCCTCCTCGCTCCGGCGGGCCCGCCTGCCTGCTCCGCGCAGACACCTCGCAGCTCCGATCAGCTCCGCCGCCGAGAGCGACCAACGCTCGGCCCCCACTGAAATAGCGCCCCGCCCCCGCCCCCCCTCCCGCCGCGCGCGCCGCCGTCCGCGCTCTCCATTGGCTGCGCTCTCCAGGCCCCGCACTGCGGGCTTCTCCCCGCGCCGCTCTCGCCCCACATCTTGTTTCCTCCCACAATGCTTCGGGGCGGGGAGAGGGGGTAGGGAGAGGGGAGCTGGAAAGGGTGGGGGAGGGCGTTGTGGCCGTGAGAGAAAAAAGAATGCGGACCCCTTTACCCAAGGCTGGAGAGGCCAGCCTAATAAGGAGTAAAGAGGCGAGGCTCAAGGAGAGGGAGAAGGTAGAGGGAGGGGCTAAAGGCCTCAATTCCAAGAGGAATAAAGAGAGGGTGACGGAGATTTCAGACCCTGGGAGCTTGATGGGGAAGAGGTAGGAGATCCTAACCTTAGGGAGAGGAAGGGGAAGGGGACTAAGTCAACAGGATCAGAAGAAAAGACAGTACCCCTTCCCTCCCCCCAAATCTGTGGGAAAGAGAAGAAATGCCAGCCCTACGGAGAGGTAAAGTCATAAACAGCCCCAGGGCTCCCTTCCGCTCACATTCAGGGAAGGTCCCTATCCCATCCAGCTCAGGCTTTGTCCCCGAGTCTCCAGGCCACTGCACCTAAACTCCCAGCCCGAGCCCCACCTGCTGTTTATCTTCAAAAGCAATGGAGGCAGACCCCTAAGCACGACTGTGAGGAGGGAGGTTTGTCTTTGGTACCCAGGCCCCTGTGATAGTCCCTACCTGTCTGGTTAGACAGGACCTGAGGGGGAGAACCCCTTAGACGTGGGCACTGGAGCAAATCAGAGCTGACAGAGCCGTAAAATTCGCCCCCTCCAAATTGCTCACCTTATAAAGGAGAGAACCAAGGTTCTCTAATAAAGGAGTAAAGGAGAGAGGGGCGTTCTCTTACCAGGGCACTACAGGTCAGGCCTGGATGTGAATTCTAGGCTGAAAAGTGGTGCTTGTGGGCGGGAGCGTCTCTGGTAGGTGAAGAGGCTGTTTGTGGGAGTGTGTGTAAAATGTATGGGCACATTGGGAGAGTGCCTGCCCTCCACTCCACCCCACCCAGCTCTAAAGAACAGGAAATGCCTGCTTTTTCTTTCCCTTTGTTTCATAAAGGAAGTGTCTACCTAAAAAAAGTGGCGAGAATCTTCATTGGGAGCCAAGCATTTGGCCCACACAGTGAGGATTAAAAAAGCTTCCATTCCCATCATTTTCCCTTCAGTACCCCAAACCATAGTGGAAAAGTCAGACTCCCTGTGGCCCTGTCCTGCTATGGTTTGGAACATCATTAGTTAGTGTTCATTATGTGTCAGGGCAAATATGGAAAGTCATCCCCTCCCACTTATGCTTTCCACAGCTCATTCATCCGCCAAACTCAATCCTGATTTCAGAGAAATAGGCAAGGCCTGAGGTATCCCCTAACACCAAGGGTATTCTGATGTCAGCCTCTGAATGAATGGGGGATGAGACATATGTGGGGGGGGAGGGAGGGAGGAGGAGAAGGATGCTTTATCCACTGAGGGTTTGTGAAGAGTTAATCTCATGGACTACTGAAGGAAAACTCATACCTCTTTCTCCAACATCATTAGCTTCCAGCCTCTTCTGTGGTCTGAGGGTCAGAACTGCCATAGTTGTGCTGGTTCATTGTACAATGACATTCAGCCTAAGAAGTAAATGGGAGCAAGAAGACAGCCTGTGCTCCACTCGCTGTGTGCCTGGTACAGGCCCGTGTCCACCCAAAAGATGCTTACCTTTTTCAAGCGGGCATAAAGGTGACTATGAACTAGCAGTGGCCCTTGCAAGGCCACACAGCCAGAGTAGAAATCCTCCCCTTCTCTGGCCCCCCTCCATAGACTAGAGTAGGGCAAGAGTTTGGTTGTTTCCAATCCTGGACTGTGGTGGGGTGAAGGTTGGGACACAGAGAACTTCAACTAACAGGGGTCAGAACCAAGACTTTTGACCTTTAAGAAATATGAGAGTCTGTGTGTGTGACAAGAACTAAACTCTAAAATAATCAGGAGATTTGTTAATAACAATATGGTTTACAGTTAAGCGTTAATATTTGTAGAGCCCTCACTCTGTTACAGGCTCATTTCTAAGTGTTTTAAATGTATATATTATTGCATTCAATCTCTGGAAGAATCATGGTGAGTATATTAGTATTCCCCTCTACAGAGAAGTTGAGTAACTTGCCCAAGATTACCTAGAGATTCAACCCCAGGCTCTCTGCTCCTATTATCTACATTCAACCATTCAACTCTTCTAGCTCCTGAGAAAAAAATTGTACAGGGGTTCGGTGCTCTATCTAACTAAATTATACCAGCATTTCCTGAACTTATCTGGCTCCAAAGCCCTTTTTCATCCAAACATTTGTTAACATTTCCAAGAACTATTCCACAGGACACAGTTTGGGGAATGTGTGCTGTACTAATTCCTGCCATTTATATAAAACGCTTACTGTTTATGATAATTACTGTACAACATAGTAACTGTTATAATTAATGTTGGCTTAACTTGATCATGTTTTTATTTGATGCCACTACACCTTTGTGATTACCCAGTTTTCAGTTGCCCAGATAGCAGAGCCATGTCTTCAAACTTGAAAATCAGAGGGGATTTTTGTTATTTGTCTCATCTGTGGGCCCCTTTCCTTCTGGCTACTTCTTTAACGTAGGGGTTTCCCAGGGCTTCAGTCACTTGAGTAATTTCATCCACATGTATGGTTTTTACAGTGATCTGGGCCCTGATAGGCCCCCTGCGTCCCAGACCTCTCCACTGTGAGTACCCCACAGGCTCTTCAGACTCTTGACATACGCGCACATAAACCCTGGTTGTTAAGAGCATTGGCCCTGGAGCCAGAATGCCTCAATTCTCACTGCCTTCTACCAGTCTTTCGGCTGTGCAGACCCGGCCAAGCTATTCAACATCTCAGAGTTTCTTTTTCCTCATCTATAAATCAAGAATAATAATATCTACTTCATAGTGTTATGAGAAAATGCATGAAAAACTCTTGGCACAATGCCGGGCCCACATAAGTGATTAATAAATGTTAGCCACCATGAGCATCTCTCTTCCAGGCTTGTTTTCCTTCCCGGCCTTTCTTACCTCAGTTCATGGCCCTATTATCCACCCAGGCACCAAGTCAGAAACCTGCAAACCACCTGGATTGGCGTTTTTTCCTTACCCACCACATCTCCATTATCACCCACTCCTGAGATATTTCCCCAGTGCATATACCTCCTTTCATTATAAGTGCCTCATTCTCATTATGAATACCCTGCATCAGGTGCTCATCATCTCTTCCAATCGGTTCCCTGCCTCCCATTCTTGGTACTTCCTCCCCAAATCCACACTGCAGTGATCTATCTAAAATGCAAACCTCCCAGCCATCACACACTCGGCCTCTCTGCCTTATCTCCCCACACTTCCCACCTCCTTCAGTCTCTAGCAACACCATCAATGGCCTGTGTTTTCCCTCACACCCAGATTCCACACCTTTGTCCATGTGGTTTCTCTTGCCTGTGAAGTTGTGGCTTTCTTTCTTGACTAATTCCTTCGTTTGAGTGTCCTCTGCAATGCCTTCCCTGAATCCCAGGTGGGATGCATATTCCTCTTCTTTGCTTTGGTCCATCCAGGGCTTATCTCTGACCACATTCTATTAAACTTGCCAGTTTTATGTTTGTCGCTAGGTCCTTGCAGACAGGGGTTATGTGTGGGCTGCTGAACCTAGCACAGTTCCTGGAACATGATACGTCCTCTGTAAGTATTGGTTAAACTGGTCATGCTCATTAATGGCTGGAAAATACAGCTTGGAAGGATACTCTGTCTCTTACTCTACTTGAAGAGCCATGGCCAGGCTCTTCTGTTTCTGTAGGCCTGATTTTTAAATTGAGTTCCTCCTCACACTCTCTGTTGGGTAAATCGACACCTCAGAGGTAAAGACAATCAAGGGCTCGCCCACCCCAGCTGACTGGGTAACCCAGAAAAAAGAGGCCATCCAATGACAGGTCGTTTCACCAAGCCGTTTAGCCATTACTTCCTTCTAGGGCTCCAGGAGGATGGAGAAGGGTGGAAACACACACGCTGATACTCCCATTGCAGTACAAACCGTGGTGCCAAGTCCCCAGTGGGAAAACCTAAGGAAGAGAACAACATGGAATCTGCCCCATTTCCTAGCTGATTTCTGGGGTGGCCTTAAAAACATTTACCAAGCCCCAAATGTTGCCCTTTTCCCCCAAGTTTCCTGAAACCTGGAAGAGCCAGCCAAGGTTAACCATGTGACTGGGAGCTAATGAGATGAACACTGGCCTGGCAGTCAGAGGAGAGATCCTGAGCCCAGTGTGACTCTAGTCATTTCACCTCTCAGAATCTGGATTTCTTCATCTAGACAATGTAGGACCAGATAATCTATCAGGTCCCTGTCAGCTCCAAAGTCTCTGATTCTCCGATTTCAATGCCCGATCATGAATGGTACCTTCCTTCTGGGTCAGAAAAATTTCTCTGCCTTTAGCCAAGGTTAAATGCCTTCTTTTTTTCTGATCTGATAAACTCAGAAGTCAGAGAGCATTTCTCTACACTCCCACACTACCCTCCAAAACTGGGATATCATTTTGTTCATCTTTGTGCTCCCTCAAAGTAACCAAGTACCTTGACATAGTTAAGAGTCAGTGAATGTTTAGAGCTTTAATGAAAATATTAAAGCAAATGGTCACCGATAAGGAACCAAAGAGAAGATGCTCCAATGGAAGTATAGTAGTGGTTTCTAGGTCATGACTTTTCCTGAGTTAGGGGTCTTCCTCCTTCATTGTCTGCACAATGGAACCCCGCCCCTGCCATGGGAGAACCATGACAGTCATGTGGAATTTGTCAGCCTTTGAACATCCAAATGATCAAGTTAGGATTCTTGGCTTCAAGAAACATCTGAAGGGAAAAACAGGATCAGAATAGCGGTCCCTGACTCCAGGGCACAGGAACCATGGAGAAGCTTCCTTGGGGGCATTCCCATGGGGCAAATCACTGGCATTTTCCTTGAGTCACTACCCTACTGTGGATTCGGATTCCCAAAGAAAGGTGTCTGGACAAATTGAGTCACAAGTCTACCTTTTGGTCATGGAAGTGAAGGGCATCATGACTGGCAGGCCTTCTGAGATTGAGGAGGGAAATAGTCAATGGGAAAGAAATCTGCATGCAGTTACAAGAAGCAAGAGAATAGGCACAGGCCGGGCAGAAACCATCAATGGCTCTTGGAGAGTTTCAGGAGTGGGAGGCAAGATTATCTGCATGGAAGATCCTTATCTCCACTGTCATACAGGCATAGGCTGTGATCTTTCACTCTCAGTCCCTTGGAGTGAGGTGGGGAATGGTGAGGCGAGCCCTAAACGATGAGGTCTGCACAACTTTGCCTTTCCCTTCAGGGCAATTTTGGAGGAAAACTTTGCCGTGTCAGGCATGCTGCAATAGATTCCAGTTGTCAAAAACCTTTTCTTTTTTTAATCTTCTCACTGGGAAATGGAGGTTCTCCTTACATTTCACATGATAGGGTAATACTATATATATAAAAAACAGCTTTATTGAGATATAGTTCACATACCATAAAATTCACCTTTTTAAAGTGCACAATGGCTTTTTTATTCAGTGGCTTTTATTTACAGAGCTGTGAAACCAGCACCACTATCTAATTTTAGAACATTTTCCTCACCCCAGAAAAAAACCCCATACTCACTGTCGGTCACTCCCGTTTCCCCCTAATCTCCACTAATTTACTTTCTGTCCCCATGGATTTGCCTGTGCTGGATATTTTGCATGAATGGAATTATAAAATATATGGGCTGTTGTGCCTGCGTTATTTCACATAGTATAATGTTTTCAAGGTTCATCTGTGTTACCCATGAGTCTGTACTTCATTCATTTTTATGGCCATAGTTAATATTTTATTTTGTGAGCTTACACTTTTCTGTTTATCATGAATCATTTGTGCTGTTTCCACTTTTTAGCAGTTATGAATAATGCCTCTAGAAACATTCAGGTACAAGTTTTTGTGTGGATATGTGCTTTTGATTCTCTTGGATGTACAGTGGATATACAGCCTAGGTATAGAATTGCTGGGTTATATGGTAACACTGTGCTTAACCTCTTCAGGAAGGGTCGGACTGTTTTCCAAAGCAGCTCTTCCTTTTCACATTCCCACCAGCAGTGTATGATACATCCTCACCAGTGACTGTTGTCTGTTTTTTGTTATAGCCACTGTAGTTCATGTCAAAGGATACCTCACTGTGTTTTTTAAAAATATTTTTTATTGATTATGCTATACAGTTGTCCCATTTCCCCCTTTTATTCCTCTCTGCCCCGTATACTCCCTCCCACCTGAACTCCCCCCCCCCACAGTTAGTTCATGTCCATGTGTTTTGCATATAAGTTCTTTGGCTTCTCCATTTCCTATACTATTCTAAACCTCCCCCTGTCTATTTTCTGCCTACAATTTATGCTACTTATTCCCTGTATCTTTTCCTCCATTCCCCCCACTCCCCTTCCCCACTGATAATCCTCCATGTGATCTCCATTTCTGTGATTCTTTTCCTGTTCTAGTTGTTTGCTTTGTTTATTTTTGGTTTTTTATTCGATTTTGATAGCTGTGAATTTGTCATTTTACTGTTCATAGTTTTGATCTTCTTATTTTTCTTAGATAAGTTCCTTTAACATTTCAAAAAATAAAGACTTGGTGATGATGAACTCCTTCAACTTGACCTTATGTGGGAAGAACTTTATCTGTTTTTTCCATTCTAAATGATAGCTTTGCTGGATAGAGCAATCTTGGATGTAGGTCCTTGCCTTTCATGATTTTCCATACTTCTTTCCAGACCCTTCTTTTCCGCAAGTTTTTTTTTAATCAGCTGACAGTCTTATGGACACTCCCATGTCCTTTTCTCTTGCTGCTTTTAAGATTCTCACCTTATCTTTAATCTTGGGTAATCTAATTATGATGTGCCTAGGTGTGTGCTTCTTTGGGTCCAATTTCTATGGGACTCTCTGAGCTTCCTGGACTTCCTGGAAGTCTGTTTCCTTTGCCAGATTGAGGAAGTTTTCCTTCATTTTTTGTTCAAATCAGTTTTCAATTTCTTGCTCTTGTTCTTCTCCTTCTGACACCCCTATAATTTGGATGTTGGAACATTTAAAGTTGTCCTGGACATTCCTAAGCCTCTCTTCATTTTTTCTGAATTCTTATTTCTTTACTCTGTTCTGGTTGAATGTTTTTTACTTCCTTCTGGTCCAAACTGTTGATTTGAGTCCTAGTTTCCTTCCCATCACTGTTGGTTCTCATACATTTTCCTTTATTTCACTTTTCATAGCCTTCATTTTTTTCCTCTATTTTGCAACCATACTCAACCAATTCTGTGAGTATCCTGAGCTCCAGTGTTTTGAACTGTGCATCTGATAGGTTGGCTATTTCTTTGTCACTTAGTTGTATTTTTTTCTGGGGCTTTGATCTTTCATTGGGGCTTTTTTTTCCCCTCAGTGTGCGGTTAGTAGTAAGGGTCAGAGCCTTAAGTATTTGCCAGAGCAGGGCAACCCGCATCATTGTGTTGTGGCGCTGTATGTGGGGGAGGGGTCCAAGAGGGAACAATGGCACTTGCTCAGGTCTGGACAGGTTTTCTTTCAGTCACTTCCTCCACCACCCCCAAGCAAATTGGGCCCTTCTGGTGCTGATTCCCAGGTGGGTGGGTTTGTGTAGTTCTAGGACCCTGTGGGTCTCTCCAACAAACTATCCTGTGTGAGGCTAGGTGTTTCTCCTGCTCCTTCGACTCCCACAGGTTTTGTCAGTCAGAGGTTTGAGGCTTTATTTCCTGGTACTGGATCCCTGGGTACTCGATCTGTCTCACTCCCCAGTTGTTACTCCCAGTTTACCTGCACACAAATGTGGGACTGCCTGGTCTGCCAGCCACCACCTTGCCCTATCCACCAGCTGTGGCCTTGCCTCATGTCCTCTCCAGTCTGGCTGCCTGTCTCTGCCCCTCCTACCAGTCCAAATGAATATTTCTTCTTGAACTCCTTGGTTGTCAGACTTTCATACAGTTCGATTTTCTGGCAGTTATGGTTGTTTTTTGTTTTTAAGTTTGTTCTCCTCCTTTTGGTTGTGCAAGGAGGATTATGCCTCCATCTTTCCCAGAAGTCTCTTATTGTGGTTTTGATTTGCATTTTCTTGGTGGCTAATAATGTTAAACAGCTTTTCATGTATTTATCAGCAACTTGTATATTTTCTTTAGAGAAAAATATTCAGATCCTTTGTTCATTTTTTGTTAGGTTATTATCTTTTTATTATTGAGTTGTGGTATATTCTGGATACTAGACTCTCATTAGAGATGTAGTTTAGAATTTTTCCTATTCTGCAGATTGTAGAAACTTTGAAGCAGAAAAGTAATTTTTCTTTCTTTTTCTTTTAGGGTAAGAGCATGAATGCAGCCCCCCACTAGCACAAATTATGCAGTGGAGTTTCCCACATTTGGGGAAGTCGCAGGGGTCAGCACATCCAGAGTGCAGTAGTTGAGCCTCGCCATGGGAAATGCACCTTCTTGATCATGGTGTCTCCCCTTCTAGGTAAGTAGACAAATTTGTCTGTTTTTCTTTTTGTCCCTTTTGCTTTTGATGTCATATCCAAGAAATCACTGCCTAACCCAAGATCACAAAGATTTACTCCTATATTTTCTTCCAAGAGTTTTAGCTCTTGCTAAATTATCTATTTTGAGGTAATTTTTATGTACAATGTGAAGTGCAATCTAACTTCTTTGTTTTGCGTATGGATATTCAATTGTCCCACATCTTTAGTTAAAAAAAAACTATTCTTTCACCACTAAATTGTCTTGGCATCCTTATCAAAAATCAATTGACCATAAACATAGGAGTTTATTTCTGGAATCCTAATTCCATTCCATTGATCTATGTATTCTTATGCCAGTACCACTCACTCATCATAGCTTAGTAGTAAGTTGTGAAACATGAAATTGTGACTCCTGCAACTTTGCTCTTCTCTTTCAGGATTATTTGTCAAACTCAGTCCTTTGCATTTATTTCCATGTAACTTGTATATCAGCTTACTAATTTTTAATTAAAAAGTCAGCTGGTATGTTGATGGAGGTTATGTTGAATCATAGACAATTTGAGGAGTATTGCTATCTTAACAATATGAAGTTTTCTGACTATGAACATAGGATTTCTTGCCTTTTATTTAGGGTTTCTTTAATTTTTTTCAATCATGTGTTACAATTTTCGGTGTATATATCTTATTCTTTTGATAAATACATTCCAAAAATATTCAATATTTTTGATGTTACTATAAATTGAATTATTTTCTTAATTTCATATTCATATGGTTCATTGCTGGTGTATAGAAATACAATTTATTTTTGTATATTGTAGTTTGTATTCTGCAACCTTGCTAATCTCATTAATTAATCCCTAATTGTGTGTGTGTGTGTATTGTTTAGAATTTTCTATATACAAAATCATATATATGAATAGAGATAGTTCTACTTCTTCCTATTTGATCTGGGTGCCTTTTGTTTTTTCCTTGCCTAATGGTCCTGTCTAGAAGCTTCAGCATATGATGAATAGAATTGGTGAGAGCAGACATCCTCATCTTGCTCTTGATCTTAGGGGGAAAGCTTTCAGTCTTTCACCACTAAGTCTAATATTAGATGTGGGGAGTTTTGAAGATGTTCTTTATCAAGTTGAAAAAATGCACTTCTACTCCTAATTTTTTTAGTGTTTTTGTAATGAATAGGTATTGAATTTTTTCAAATACTTGTTCTGCATCTGTTGGGATGATAGTGTGGTTTTGGTCCATTACTTTATTAATATGGTGTATTTTATTAATTTGGTTATATTAGTTTTCAAATATTAAACCAATCTTGCATTCCTGTGATAAATCCCAGTCTTTTTATATGTTGCTGGGTTCATTTTGCTAGTATTCTGTTGAGGACTTTTGCATCTAAGTGATGTTGATACATATTTTTCTTGTGATATCTTTGTCTGGTTTTGATATCTGAGTAATCCTGGACTCATGGGATGAGTTGAAATATGTTCCCTCCTATTTTTTTTTTTGAAGAGTGTGAAACATTAGTATTAGTCCTTTAGACATTTAGTGAAATTCACTAGTGAAGACATTTGGGCCTGGAATTTTCTTTGTGGGAAGTTTGTTTTGTTTTGTTTTGGAGTTCTTTTATTATTATTATTGCTGTATTACAGTTGTCACAATTTTCCCCTGTTGCTCTCCCCTGCCTTGCCTGCCTCCTCCCCCTCCCACAGCCAATCCCCACCCTGTTGTCCATGTCCATGGGTCATTTATACTTGTTCTTTAACTGGGCTCTTCCTCTTCTTTCTTCCTTTATCCCCCTCCCTCCTCCTCCCCTCTTGTCCCTGTCAGTGTGTTCCTTGTTTCCATGCCTCTGGTTCTATTTTGCTCGTTTGTTTGTTTTGTTCCTTAGGTTCCTGTTATAGGTGAGGTCATATGATATTTGTCTTTCACCACCTGACTTATTTCACTTAGCATAATACTGGAGAGTATGCTATCACAAATAGTAGGAGTTCCTTCTTTCTGTTGTGTAGTATTCCATTGTGTAATGTACCACAATTTTTTGATCCATTTACTGATGGGCACTGATGGGCACTTAGGCTGTTTCTAGCACTTGGCTATTGTAAATAGTGGTGCTATAAACATTGGGGTGCATAGGTTCTTTTGAACTGGTGTTTCCGGATTCTTAGGGTACAATCCTAGCAGTGGAATTGCTGGGTCAAAAGGCAGTTCCATTTTTAGTTCTCTGAGGAAATTCCATACTGTTTTCCATAGTGGCTGTACCAGTCTGCATTCCCACTGACAGTGCACTAGGGTTCCTTTTTCTCCTTATCATCAGCACTTGTTTGTTGATTTGTCAATAATGGCCATTCTGACTGGTTTGAGGTGGTATTTCACTGGTTTTAATTTGCATCTCTCTGATGTCTAGTGATGTTGAGCATCCTTTCATATGCCTCTGGGCCCTCTGTATGTTCTCTTGGAGAAGTGTCTGTTCAGGTACTTTGTCCATTTTTTAATTGGATTGTTTGTCTTCCTGGCATTGAGTCATATGAGTTCTTTATATATTTTGGAGATCAAACCCTTGTCTGAGGTATCATTGGCAAATGCATTTTCCCATATGGTTGGTTCCCTTTTCATTTTAATGATGGTTTCTTTAGCCATGCAGCAGCTTTTTAATTTGATATAGTCCCATTTGTTTATTCTTTCCTTTATTTCCTTTGTACCAAAGGATGTATTGGTGAAAATATTTCTACATGGGATATCTGAAATTTTACTGCCTATGTTTCTTTGTGGGAAACATCTTTATTTTTAAGATTTTATTTATTTATTTTGAGAGAGAGGGGAAGGGAGGGAAAAGAGAGGGAGAGAAACATCAATGTGTGGTTGCCTCTCACACACCCCCAACGGGGGACCTGGCCCGCAACCCCGGCATATAGCCTAGACTGGGAATTGAATCAGCAACACTTTTGTTTGTGGGCTGGCACTCAGTCCACTCAGCCACACCAGCCAGGGCAGTGTAGGAAGTTTTAAAAATCCTAACACAATCTCTTTTTTTTAGGTCTATTCAAACTACCTGTTTTTTTGAGGTAGTTTCTGTCTAATAATTTTTCTATGTTTTCTAAGTTATCTAATTTGATAGCATTAAATAATATACTTGTTCATAGTATTGCTTTATAATCCTTTTTATTTCTCTAGGCCCTTCTTTCATTCCTCATTTTAGTCTCTTCAGTCTTCTCTTTTTTTCTTGGGCAGTCTAGCTGAAGATAGGTCAATTTTGTTCATCTCTTCAAAGAACCAACTTTTATTAATTTTTTACTGCTTTTCTGTTAATAGGATGCTATAAGCTGCTTGGTTGAGGGGACATTCAGACTGGGACTATTTCTGGAGCAGCTGGATTCAAACTCAACTGCTTGTCTATTTTGCTCTAAGTAGGGTTTTACTTTAGTGTCTCCCTCATCCCCATGACTCCTGGAGTGATATGACGAGGAAAATAGAGACTACACTATAACTTGGGCTGTGAGGAACAGCTGTTCCATTAAATCCATAAACACTTCTTAACCATCAACAAGCTGTGAAGAAGACACCAAGGGGGCAGGGACGAGTAGCGAGAATCAGCCACAGACTTTCCTAAGCCCACAGTCTAGTTGGGGAGACGCACATGTAACAACCAACTTTAACACAGGTCAAACTACAATGAGGGCTGTGATTGACTGTGAGCAAAACACTTATGGGGGGGGGATGGGGTTGGAGGGCAGTTAACCTGTCTGGAAGAGTTAGGGAACAAAAGAGTTGGCATTTGAGGTGTCTTTTAAAGCATGGTAGGATTCAGGCAGGGGGAGAAAATGGAGGGAGGGAAAGTTCTTCAGTCAGAGAGAAGCACACAAGCCAAGGCAGGCAAGGTAGGAAGCAGGCCTGTCAGGGACAGAGTGTGCTGGGGAAGGAAACAGGCTGGACAGAAAAGCTAGGGCCAGTCTTTGGAGGGGGTCTAAACGGTGTGCTAAGGAGCTAGAGCATTATCCTTAAGAATCTTGGGACCCTGGCCCATGTGGCTCAGTGGTTAGACATTGTCTTACATACTGAAATCTGCCTTATATCCTGATTGCGAGTCATGGGTTTGACTCTGATCAGGGCACATGCATAGGTTGTGGGTTCACCCTCGTCAGGGAGCATAGGGTAGGCGACTGACTGATGTGTCTCTCTCACACTGATGTTTCTGTGTGTGTGTTTGTGTGTGTGTCTCTCCCCCTTCTCCCTCTAAAATCAATGAATATATCTTCGGGTGAAGATTTTTAAAAAAGAAAAAGAAGGAAACTTGGGGCCCATTGAAGGGCACTGAGCCAGAGGATGAATGATCAGCCTGTATAGATATGTGGGCTGCAACAGAAACCTACATTGGTTTATCCGGGTTCTATGGTGCCATCCACACCCATGGAAGCAGCAGAGACAGCTGCCTTTACCGTTGTTGATCACCCTTCCTTGGGACTGTGTCCTCCCCAAGGTTCCGTGGCACAGTACTTCTGTGACTTCCTTTCTCTCTGGCTGCCTGAGCAGGCTCCTCTTCTCTGCTCGTCCTGAATGTTGGTGTTCCTCAGAGTTCTGTTCTAGATCCTTTTCTCTGTCCACTAGACAGTTCTCCCTTGGAGATCTCACATGTTGCCATAGCTTCAGAGACCAGCTACAGATTGGGAACTCCCAAATTTATATGTAGCTTTCTCAGATCTTTCTCTTTATTTAGACCCATCAGTTCTAACTGTCCATTGGACATCTCCATTTAGGTGCTATCTTCATTAAAATTAGGTCCAGCTGTGAGTAGAAGGAAAACCCCAAGTTAAATGGCCCAAACAAGGCAGGAGTTCATTTCTCTTTTAGATAAAAGAGCCCAGTGGTATTAAGTCCAGGCCTGGGAGTCATATCTCTGAAATCTGCCCCTTTGTCTCTATCCCCAAGCCACCGTCCTCCTCTAGGTCAACTGCAACACCTTTGCCATTCTTGCTCCTCTCAAGTGATTCTCTATATCTGTATTGTTGACCTTGG